GTCGAGTCCCCAGCCCTGGGGGGATTTAACAGCCGGGCAGAGGCGGTGCTGAGGGCCAGGGTTTGGGGGTGGGATGGCAGGGGTAGGGGAACGCTTGGGCTGGGGGAGCTTCAAGGGCTTTGCCAACCCAAACCATTCCAGGATTCTATTGCACGAAGGAACACCTTGTACCAGGGTTCAACCCGTTCTCGGGAAATAAGGCATCGCCTCAACACTTTGTTGAGGGGAACCCAACGACGACTGAGAATAAAGAATATTCACGACCTTAGAGCTTAAAACAAATCTGGAGAGGTTTTTTCTCAACACCGCGCAAGCCCCGTTCCCATCTTAGGATTTAAAAAACCCCAAACCAAACCCAACCAGCAAGAGCCAACACAGATCACAGAGGATTTTGTCGGTTCTCATAGAAGCCACGAGATCTCTGCAGGCAGAGGAGGAGAAATAATCAATACCAGAGCTCTTGAGAGGTTTAATTGGAGAGGGCTTTATTTTCTGGAACTACACAGCTGGTTTGCGTTGGACCAAAGCTGGGATTCTTTTTTTTTTTTTTTTTCCCCCCGTTTTTATTTTGCTAGACATAAGCAATGCAGTGTAACTGGAAAACGATGACTGACAGTGTCTAAACCACAAGTGGATCGAGAGGAGCTTGAGGGAAAAAAAGAAACACCCCCCCCTCCCCCCCAAAAAAACCCAACCCCACACCCCAGCCTTCTAGCTAAAAGTGAAAATCCACAACACAGCCTGCCCTAGGGAATGGCACCGTCGTGTCTACGGGACGGAGCGACTTCGGGCCGGAATGGGAAGCACACAGCATCCTACGTACCGCTACCCAGCTCGGGCTGGCTACCCATCGTCCTGCAGTGGCAACTACTGGCCGTTAGCCCCTCTCGTTTAGATTCGGATCCCAAAAGGCATCTTCAAGTTTGAGAGTCGAAGGGATGGCAGGAGCTGAGCGAGCTCCCGGCGCCAGCGCGGTGAGGGGACAGAGGGACGATCCTCGCCGAGAGACGGAGGCGTTAAGGGACGCTAGGGACGGACAGCGAGGGGGCGGGCGCCCCACGCTAAGCTGGCTCAGCCTTCCTTATCTTACGGTCACCGGATGAATGGCTTTAGGAAATCAGTTCTACAAACCAACCGAGCCCGGAGGCGCAGAGCAAACACCCTTCGCCCGGCTTAAAAAGGCGTTGAAAAGAACCATGCAGAGGGGCGGGGAGCTCGTTCCGTCATAGCACCAGGGTTCACAAGTCAGCTTCGCCGTCGCCAGCGCCGCAATAAATACTCTTA